CTATTCCCACAATCGCCCCTCCTCTCCACGTAGGCATAATAATTCAAGAAGAAGGCTAGCGTCAGCACCGCCCACTCCAGGCAGAAGATCGCCGCGCACAGCCCGCCGGCGAGCTTCAGTATGACGACCGCGTCATCCTCCCGGACGTACGACTTGAGGTGGCCCAGGAAGTCCGAGGGCCCGGTGAAGATGAGTACGGAAACGGATCCCTGGAAGATGGCCGTGAGGACGGTGGCCACCATGTGGGCACCGTACAACCTGGATCCACCACCGCGAGAGGCCGCGGCGCAGCCGAACACGGCTCCGGCGATGGTGATGGCGTGGAGGAGGACGAGGAGGGCGCCGGGGAGGGAGGGGATGAGGCGGAGGGAGAGGGTGAGGAAGGCGCAGCTTGAGGCGGCGCCGATGAGGGCGTAGTTGGTTAGGAGGAACACCTTGTGGGTGGTTTGGGGAGCCGAGTCGCCGCCGCTATCCACTGACAGACCCATTTTATTAAATTATGTATTATGAAAAAATTCACCGGAGATTTATCAAAGAGAGAGAGAGAGAGAGGAGAGAGAGAGTGTGTGATTTTAGTAATGAGAATTGAGGCGGAGAGAGGGATATATAGCGGTGGAGATGGGGCGGCAACGGTCATTTTTGGTGGGGCCGGAGCAAGAGCTCCCAACGGATATATGAATACATATTAATGAGAGATACATTTGACAATGAGTCAATGACTGAATTTTACTGTTTTTACAGTTCATGCCCCCTTATTATATCTTAATTGCAAATTCGACCTAATAATATATGAATAAAATTGAATATACATTTGACGGGGATCAATGAAGATGGTACATTTTTCAAACCTAAGCTAAATAGTTAGAGCAGTTATGTCTAGTTGTCTTAAATTTTTAAACATAAATGGGTGTATTAATGATTATCATGTTGACACAATTAACAAAGAGAAATGCTATAAGTAAAATAATATGGTACACAGTTTTGCTATGAAATCATATGACTCGACTTATGAAGTTATCTATAGCTATTCACAAATGATGTATTGATACATGTCTTGCAATAAATGCACATTGAACATGTGTCAATACATAAAATTATGGATGACTCCATAAACAGAGGAGGATCTAGAAAAATAAATTGGGGGGGACAATTTTTTTTTATTTATTTTTTTTATACTGACGTACACTTAACAACGAATACATAAAGTAGCAATTTTGAATAAAAAAAAGTTGTAATAATAAATACATACCTTTAAACTTCGTTTCATACTTGAATTGTGTTCAACGTTTTTTCCTCCACAGATACACACATAACTAATCTCATACACAATCTTTTTACCCTATTATTTTTTAGGTATCAAATATCATTTATTTTAGAAAGAAAAAGAAAAAAGAACATGCCCATAATGGCAAACTCGTTACACTGATTTAAGAAAAATAAATATTAAGATAAAACAAGTACATAAACATGCCCCTAAATAAGAATCTACATCATATTTTCATGGACGACCAAAATGCCCAAATTACTTCTCAATTTCCCTTTTGACCACGGTATACAATATGAGATGACTCCAAAAATTACTACAGGAACCATTTTATTGCCTTCCAATACATATAATTTTTTCAATGGCAAGGTCATACATTCAACTTGATTAAACCCTAAATAGCTCAAAGGAACAAATAGATAATATCATAATTCATAAATAAAGGTATCAAATAAGTATTTAAAATTATAATTATCCGATTAGATTTGGAAGAAGATGAATGCTCAAATCTCAATCGATATTTTTTTTTTCTGATTTGCTCAGTGCTCGTTGTCCGTTGAGACTGTCGAGTCGTGCTCTCTAAAATTTTCTGCAGCCGAAAAGTAAACTTCTGCAGCTTTGCTTTTTATTTTATATGATTTACTTTATTTGGTTATTTAATAGTTTAAAAAATAGATAATTAATTTAATTTAATATATTATATATGCTTAGTTGCTTACTGCTTATCTAAAAGACCGGTGGTCTTCTTCGGGATGAGGATGGCAGGTGGTTATCCGGCTTCGTGATGAACATCGGGTTTTGCTCTGATATGGCCCTATTATCATAGTCCGGTTCAGATGCTAATTACTCGACTGAGGAAAGACTGCGGACGACATCATTAAGTCGACATCATTAAGTTGACATTTCTGATGTCGACTTGGCCCATCGGCCATTCAAAGGCCATCGTCGGTCCGATAACGGTCTCTGGGCGACTTCAGGAAGTCGACCGAGTATAAGACGACTTCTCTGAAGAAGGCGAGCAGGCACTCTAGGAGCCCTGGATACATATGCAACCTTAGGTCGACTTATCATGGCCCCAAGTCGACTTACGAGACCTCCGACGACTTGATACACAGGTACAACATATGGAGAATCTCCAAGGGAAGCTAAGTTTACACAGGATAAGAAGGAATCTAGATGCTGACTCAGGAGTGGGCGGAATGCGAACCGACCAGGGCATTTTGGACACTTCGTGTAAGTCGGCCAGGGAATTTTAGGTACTTCAAGTAAGTGTTTCTACTCATATATAAAGGAGTTGAGTTAACTCCAAACCCTAACTTTCATTCTCTCCATTCATTTTTCAGTTGCTTCTTCTACCGAGCAGAGCTCATCTTCCTCTCTCTCACTGACTTGAGCGTTGGAGGCTCTTCACCGGAAACACTTCCGGTGTTGAGTTCTTGCAGGTGTTCACGGCAGTTCACGGACGACTTGGAGGCGATTCGAACAGACCGAAGCTCATTTCTACCGGTTCACTCCAAATCTAGGAGGAGACCCATCATTCTCGATCTTGGGCGCGGAGTTATGGGGCCTTTTTCAAGGCTTATCTTTGGCTTGGAGGTTGGGTTACCGCATGGTGCTCGCGGAGGTGGATAGCAAGAACGTGGTGGACTTGGTGTTACACAATAGTGAGCACGCTGGAATTCATGGTAGTATTGTCGAAGGAATTAAAGAGCTTCTGGGAAAAGAATGGAAGGCTGAGGTTAGACATATCCATCGGGAAGTAAATTTTGCAGCGGATTATCTTGCTTCCTTAGCATCTGTTTGTACTATTTTTGTTGCATTTTTCGTTATTGTTTTGTTCTTTGTTTTCCTAATTTTAGGATTTTTTTATTGGTTTTTATTCATTTTTATGATTTATTATGTGTTTTGATCTATTTTGGGTTTTTATGTATTTTTCGTGTATTTTTTCTGTTTTCTTCTTGTTTTTGGTGTGCAGATCAAAAACCTCGTGAGAATTGGATTAAGCTCGGAACTCAACCATTCAAGAACAGCTAACTAGATAAGTTAGTTGGCGACAAGTGAGAAAAAGCGGAATTCGATTTCGAGATCGGATGAATCCAAACGGGGCCGAAACGTAAAGTTGAGCAAGTTACCGACCCTTTAAAGGTTGAAAATTCCAAAAAACTTGTATTCTGGGTAAAAAGTGTGGTTTGCAAGCATCATTATATAGAGGGGTTCGTTAGCTACGTGTAGGAAAAAATGGAACTCAATTTTGAGTCCAAACGAGCTCGAACGAGCGAAAATCGTGATGACGTGCAAGGCTGCCGACACAGTAGCGGCGCTAGCTAACTAGCGCCAGGGGCAATCTTTCCTCTGTCTGCATAGTAGCGACGCTAACTTCTAGTAGTGGCGCTACTACCCTCGTTTCTGCCAACTTATGATTTTTAAGCTCATTTTAGTGATGGTTGGTGCTAAACTTCTTCAATGACGTGCACGGCAACACAATGAGGGACCTCCAGCTACCAATGCTCAGCAAAAAGAGAGATTATTTGGCTATAAATATGGAGCATTTCATTGCTAAAAGTATGGTGGTTTTGGGGTCCTTTTTGGACCCTATTTCTTCCCCAACACTCCCTTTCTTCTCTTTGGCTTGCTTGTATTTCATCATCCTTGTTCATTCATTCTCATAATAATGTAACATTCTAATCCTTAATTCCCCTTCTTAAATACTTATCTCGAGAAAGAAGTGTTTATGAGAAGGAATTTTGGAGAAGTTTGTATTTCATTTGGTGTGTACTTATTCTCGGTTTAGCACTTGTATCTTACTTAATTTTCGATTGGATTTCTTGTAAGTTTTCTTTATAATAATGATGATTTGCAATCAAGTTCATGTTGAGGTTATTTTTGATATGAGTAACTAAATCACTTCCTAGGAATAAGGGATGAACCTTTGAACTCGTATGTGATTATCGTGTTCCTTGATTGTTCACTTTGTATGAGTTAGTTTTAAATTCGGTTTTTTATTTTAACTTTGGAATGACATATTGTTGAAAAGTGACAATTCAACCTTGCAATTGATTTCTAAGTATTGAAGAGTGACACTTTAATGTTAAACTTGTTTTCAAATTGAATATGGTGTTTTCTATTGTGACGATCACGATCCGAATAGACTAGACGACTAACAATCTTATAGTCTATTTTAATTGACTCTTTGAACCGAGAGGGGAGGGGTTAATCGATTGAGACTCATACAAAATAGACTTGTTCCGAAAGGTATTGTCTATGTGTTAAACAATTCGTTAATTTACCGTTTATATTTATTCTCTTGTTCCGAAAGGTATTGAGGATGAATCTCTAAACGTGTAGGTGACTCGAATTCTTTAACCGAACGATTACTTGCCGATAATTACATTTCGAATCAAAATGTATATTCCCGATTCCCTAAGCATCTTTCGCATTTTCCATTTATATTTTTAGTTGCTTTTATATTATTTTTAGTTAATAATCAATCTAAACTATCTTGATTAGAGTGTTTAGAAGTTATTTTCTATTCTTGTGATTTCGACACCAATTATAGATTCTGAACCGTCTTCCTCGAGAGATCGACCCGGGAAACGAATCATTTGATTTGGTGCTCGGTAAAATAAAAATAATTTGCTACAATAGCATCGACTATGCCAGGCGGGCTTCATATATTGGACGACCCTCCCACAGGGGTGAAACCGTGGCTTGAACATGATGTTCTCGGGGTAGAGTAATGGGGTGAAATCGGGCAAGAAAAAATCGAAAAATAAGCCTAAGGGTGATGATGAAAAATCGGGAGGGAATTCGCCGGGTTTAAGAGGTGATGTGAATTCCGGGGGTTGGAAGTTCATGAAAAATGGGGTGAAGTTTGAAAGGGGTGAGGAGTTGAAGAAGAAACTCCTGGTATCCCCGAGGAGTAGGTGGGCGAATGTGTTCGATGACGAGCTAGAGAGTGAGGTTGGAGGAGCTCGTCGAGCCATGCCCGGTTGACTTTGAATTGAAGGGAGAGTCGAGCTCACAACTTTAAACCGAACGATTCGTGGGAGGCAACCCACGTTTTTATTTTCCTTTTTCTCTTTCATTTTTATATAAAAAAAAATCGAGAGCTCGTGCCGACCTGCTCGGCAATCCCGACTTGTTAGAGCCGAGCCCAAAAAAAATTGAGCGAAAATGTAGGCGAAAG